CCTCCCCTCCCACGTAGATCCGCCTGTGTAGTTTTCTTCTAATGAAGTTCAAAGGGCTTTTATGATGATAACTTTGTGTTCTCGTATTCTATCTGAGCCGAGAAGTGTGTATCTGAGCGACGCAAATCGGTCACATACTGTAATGTAGTGAAGGGCAGTTTCTGTTGCGTTTTTGCACAGATTGGAGAGTTCATCGTCTACTATCCCGCAAATCTTTAGATATCTTTTAAGTCTGCAGTGGCCGGTTAGTACTCCGATGATGAGTCGGATTTCCTTTTTAGTTAGATCCAGCAGCCACTTAGTTTTAGAGGGGGAGAGGTTTTGATAAGTTGTTTGGCTTGTCTAAGCCCAGTACATTTCCTCCACTCCTTACTTGCTCTTTTCCTAATCAAATCAAGGACATCTTTCTGCTGATGTTTCTTGGATATTTCTATTGCAGATTCCGGACCTAGGATAGGAAATTCCGCTCCTTTCCTTGTGAGGACATCGGCTTTTTCATTGCCTTTAATTCCCGTGTGACCTGGAACGCACACTGCCCGTTCAGCTGGTCGAGTCTTTCCTCAATCCATCAGCGAAAAAGGCATGTAATCCTTCCGAGTTTCTATTGAACCCTGTGTACAATCAATTATGGGAATACAGATATTATTGGAATACAGGTACCTAACCCTAGTGTCAAGAGTAAGGCTTTTATCAAGCGGCGGAAAAAGCTACTGTAACATAGGCAACTCTTTTTCCACCATCCTCGCGTGTGTGTCCCTGTCTGTTATTGTCCATTCTTAAAAATGCCATGACCGCTACACCTGGAATGGATAATATCCATAGATGTTGCGGAATCAACGACTATAAGACTTCCAGAGCCTTTGTAGGTGTTGTACGGGATGCCCCTGTTATGCTAATGCAGGCCATTTTGTGTATGCGACATAACATTCGCATATGAGAGATTATTTAGGGCTACCCACCACACCACACTTCCATATTGCATTTTAAGTCTAATTATTAACTTATATATCCAATGCATGACTTTAAGGTTAAAACCCCAAGTTATGCCTACAGCACGTCTTACCTTCCAGAAAATATTATGGTTTTCCTTTTAACCCCTGCCAATTGTGGTCCCCAGTTCAGTTTAGAATCTATGGTAATACCAAGGTATTTGACATTCTGCCTTAATTGATGTTGCGTACCAAAGAATTTTGGAGCCTTAAAGGCATCCAATTTACGTTTCTTGTTAAGAGAATCAACTCATTATTTAATGGATTAACTTATAAGTGCATATCAGTACTACAGTGCATGTCTGGAAAATCTTACATGCGACTTGCGTCCGTTCAAAGATTGTATTTATGAACTTTTCTGTGATGAGGATCACGCCGTCATCCGCGAATGCATGGGTATAAATTTCAGCTTCCTCCAGTCTATGTAATAGGTCATTCACTACCTGGAGCCACAGCAGTGGTGAGATGCAGCTCCCTAACCACCCCGTCACCGCCTGTGTATGCAATCTGACTGCTTCTTCTGAAACAACGATAATTCTATTTTTAAGTACGAATCTTACTCAACCGATCAGTCCAGTGGGGTTAGATAAGTTTACTAACGCTTTAAAAACTGCTTCCGGTTCAGTCTTATCAAATGCTCCTTCTACATCAAAAAAGAGTCCTAACATATACCCCTTAAAATGCTGGGACTTTTCTATTTTCCCAATTAGTGAGTGTAGGGCGGTGTCCGTAGATTTTTCAGGAGATAAGCATGTCGGTTTGGGTTTAAGGGGTAATTAAGGCAGCACTTCACTAGTTAATTGATTATAATAGGAGAATTGTCTTTGTTTATTACCTTGTTAACCGGAAAGCGAGTTTCTAATAAATGAGTCAAGTGTCCTCAAAGCTGGAGGTCCAAGTATCGTTCGGTTTCTCTAAAGTACCTAATGATTAGTGGTTATTATTGCTTCAGGCGTTTTTTTTTTTTCACATTACTGCAAACATTACGCCAACCCTCCGATTTGTGCCCTCTTAAAACTCTTTTATTAGAAGTGGCATGATAATAATCCCAATCTTCATTTTGTCTTGTTCTGTAGGCTTTATTTTAAGCTTTCCTGGTTGCTTTTGTAGCTTAGTCAGTTAATTAGATCACCATCTGGCTTTTCCTGGGTTCTGTTTGGTTCTCAAAGAGCAGACCTCCTCGTAGGCCGCCACAATGGCAGTCTCGAGATGGCTAGCCTCTTTTTCAATCTGATTTCTTGTGAAAAGGCTATCCACCTGTACATTTTCCAATCAGTATTTCTCGGATTTCTTTTCAGGGGAGGGCTGGATTGAATAAATCTTAAATGTGATCATCCTATGATCATAGAGTGTGATGGCTAAGGTGACAACCCAGTCTTTTAGTAAACTTTTAATTCGGCTTGAAGTGAGTGTAACATCTAAGATCTCACTTCTAGCTTTAGTCACAAAAGTGGCTTCACTACCGATGTTTAAAATCTCCAAGTCTGTTGAGGCTATATATTCTAAAAAGGTTTCACCTCGCTCATTAGTGTCTGTGCTATCCCATGTTGGGCATTTATATTCCCAATTATTACTAGTGGAAGGGCCTCTTTTTTAGTGAAACTAAAAAAGTAGATCAATATATTGATATATAGGGTCCAAATTATAAGGAACATAAATATATCAATTATCATTTTAATCTTATTAGTGCCTACCTTGATAGTCTGGTTCAAGGCCACAACATCAGATTAGTAGCAGATAAAAAAGAGAACTCGACAAGTAAGTCCGACGTGGACAACCAAGATGCTCACCAGCCTCTATTGCAACTCAGGGACATGAAACATCTCGACCGCCATCATGAGTAGCTGACTAAGAAATGTTTTCCTAATGGGAAGACGACACTAATCCAGCTATTTGAAATCATGCTGTAAAAGAGAAAATTAAAGCTCACCTAAAGATTGATACGTGGAAAGTTACAAATTTAAGAAGATAAATTAATGTTATAGATTCTAAAATTATTTTAAAAATAAATATAAATCAATCGGACAACTTGAAAGAAGAAAAGCTCGCTTGGTGGCGACAGGATGGCCAGGTTTAGATTTTTCTGAAACCTATGCTCCAATCGCATGATTAAGCTCTATTAGACTTTTAATGCTCAGACCGTCGAAGAAAACATAATTATGCATCAACTAGATATGTCTACAGCTTTCTTAAATGGTGAATAAATGAAGATATTTTTATGCAAGTTCCTGAAAGTTTAGACAAATATCTCTGCGAAATTATTAGACAAGATTGGTTCCCGACTGGTCCTGTATGGGAGCGTGTCCTGGACGCTGAAACACAACGATGAAAGGCTTTTAAACATGTGGAAAAGAAAACTCATCAGAAAGATCATTGGCCGTACAAAAGAAGATCGCTGGCGGATGAAGAAAAATGACAAACCTACAAATCTAAATGAAACACCAGATATTGTTGCCACGATTAAGAGTGCCAGGCTAAGATAGCTGGGGCACGTACAAAGAATGGAAAGTAGTAGACTACCAAAAATGGTGATGGAGGGATATCCTGGTGGAAGTAGGTGCAGAGGGAGACCTAGACGACGTTGGCTGCAGGATTAAGAGTAGGACCTTCGGACGTTGTGTGTCGGCAGATGGAGAAGGGCAGCCGAAGACAGGTTAGATTGGAGGAGGATTACTTAGGAGGCCAAGGTCCTACGAGGACCGTAGATAGATAGATTGATAACACATGCTTTAATAAAACACATTGGCTTGCAGCTAAGTGAGTTATTCGATACCTAAAAGGAACCAGAGACCCTGGAGTTCAAAAAACAAAACAGGTCTTTGTGTGGTTTTGCTGATGCCAATTGGGTTTCTGTGTGGAAGAAAGAAAATCCTACACAGGCTACTGTCTTAAATACGCTGGGACGACTATCAGTTGGGAATCTCACAAACAGCGCACAGTGGCGCTCTTAACACAAGAAGCTGAATACATGGCTTTTCAGACACAGCAAAGGAGGCCATGCATTTGACGCAGTTACCTTCGGACATGGGAGTTTCGCATGAAGCCATCTTCATTTTCAATGACATCACCTCCGCTCAAAACTTATTCGAATAATGCAATGCTGCCATCCCGCTCTAAGCACATGAGCATTAAAGAACATTTCATCAAGGAAAAACTTTAAGACGATCAATTCCTGGCCCAGTTTAAACCATCTCGAGACATGGAGGCAGGCACCAAAACTGTACCGGGACCACGGCTTCAAGACTCTTGGCCTCAACGATAAGCGTAACGGGTGAAGGGGAGTGTTGGACAGTGACACATCGCATACACTCGTTTAATTCGTAACTGTTTGTTAAAAAGAAGAAGAATTTAACTTATGTAACTTATGTAACTTATGTTTTGCTACCCACATGTTTTAAATATTTTTTATTGCCACAACGTTGTAATAATTATAACTGATGACTTAGTGTCAATTGAAACAGTTATTTATATGGCGATTCCCTTAAAAAAATTAAAAACAGAGAATATCTTGTCATCAATATTTGAAAGAATTTGATCAATATATGAAAAATAATCGTTTTTATTTTCATTGCAGGGAAATAAAATGATAAATAGTCGATTACAGAATCTTCAAAACGCTGGTACATTCACCTTTCTCATTTGATTCAATTCATTTTATATTTTCTTTGTTATCTATTTTAACCAGTATTGAATAGAATGAAAAAAAAAAGTCAATTAGCTTGACCTTACTGAAGTTTTACGATCACGAAATATCTCTGTATCGATATCCTTTTCCTTTTTTTTTTTTGTAAAGGATTGAAATAGACACCGTTTCATAATATTTGCATCGGAGGAAATTATTTCATTTACTAGTGGAAATGTGGATCCAGCCAATTAGCATTTTCAGTGAATGGAGATGTATAAATGTTTACTATTTGGGCCGTTAAAGTCTCCGGAGTCCTTGTTGGTCCAAGGATACAGGAAGTCATGAGAAGGAGGGGGGAGTTGGAGGCGTGGAGGGGGTTCCTGACAGGTTGGTCACCTTTCACTAGCATACAGTCGAGTCTGGAGTCAAGTTGTTGGCCATTGTTGGATAGAAGTTGCTTGTAGAGGAACAGTTTTTTACCAATCACTCAGGTAAGCGATTTATATATATAAATATATTCAATTAAGAGATACTTGTTTCTCTATAATACACTTCCAACCTTACGCAAACTTGTTCCTTCTGTCACTTTCACTCATAAAGGTCTGAACTGAAATGGAAAGCTAGCCGTTTCTCCTACCTTCGTCCCACCATCCTATTATTTTCTATAAAATTCGAATTTACAGTCATTTTTATCGGCTTTAAATAGATGAGAACCGTTTATTTGTCCCCTATGTTGAATCATCTAATTTTGTAATAATTTATATCACCAGATTGGTAAAATTGAAAACTAGTTGGTTAAGTAATCCTGGATCTTGCTGGCATAATTGGTAGTACATATTTGACTCAAGTGATAGAAACATTAAAACTTGACATTAGTCCTTAGAAATTAACTTTAATGTAAATGACAATTATTATTATTTTTATGAGAATATAAACTCTTTTAAAGTACAACCGTTTCTAGGAAAGAATATGTATATATATATATATATATATATATATATATATATATATATATATATATATATACATATACATATATAATTGTTTGTGTGTTTTTATAAATACATATAAATGATAAAAGTTAGCAAATAAAGTGATTGATTACAGCAATATGAAGAATGATTGATTTAAGTTTCGTCTTCAGCTCCCAGCTAGGTTTAAAATATTACCTGCTTCTGTTTAGATTTTTAAAATATTGAATATGTTGAAGCGTTAACGTTTTCTGAAATAGCTGTTATGTTTCAATTGTACCATAAAAAATATTATGTAATGAATGGTTTCAGTTGAAAGATGACAGAAGATATGCTTTATCCCAACAATGGTATAAATAATTGATATATATCATTATTCATCTTCATTATTCAATAAGAAATCAATTTTCATACGAATTTTAGAGGTATGTAAATGATAAAAACGAAATTCAGTTTTGACTGTTGAATTGTACAGGACAAAATAATACATTGTCTGTATAAATGTATCCAATATACATAAATCATTATAAACTTGGCAGGGCATTTCAACCTTTATATTATATTAAAATTCAGACTTGTTCAATGTTTCAGATAATTTATTAGTTCATAGCCTGAAATGTTTTTATCAAGATTGTTGAATTGTTTTTGTTCGATTTTTTTTTTATTTCCAAATGTTTTGAACCATTATGAAGTTTTACTATTTCATTGACAATAATCATTCGAAATGGAACTGGAACAATATGAAAGTATGCTGTAAAACAGCTGATCTTAGACTTTCTATCGTTTGACATAATCTTATCGTTACTTGATTCGTTTCTTTTTCATTTATCCAATACAAATATTAGTTAAAAACAATACTGCCCAACTTTTTTTTTCCTTTACTGTGGCCAATGAGTTCTCTGCCAATCCCGAGAGTATTAATTTACATTAATCTAATTGATAAATTAGTTGTATCTTTTATTATCATATCATCTATGATTATAATATCAATGGTTTCATTATATATTATTATTATTATTATTCCTAACTAAGATGATATGTATATATATCTGTGTGTGTGTATACAATATATAAAACCGATTGATAAAAATCACATATTTTCTATTAAAAGTAATATAGCATACACATTAAATGTTAACGTGACAGGTAAATAATGATTTAAAAAAGTTTAAAAATTAGTTTTGTTCGGAAACTGGGGTTCTTAAATATATACTCTAGCAAGGAGGTGAAAATACGAATTATGGAAGCACTCTGAAAAGGTTTTTCAACATTTTACTTTTATAAAACATTTGCTAAAGCCAATCAAGAATTGATGGAAAGATTTTGAACCATTCTTCAAAATAAGGTGTTGGGTTTAGCTTACAAATACACCTAGTTATTGGCAATAATAGATTTCTTCCAGAGAGAAAAACCAGCATTTCAAAAATGTTTTTCCTCTTTTAAATACACAGTCGATGGGCATCAAATTCAAAATCTGAAAGTGAAGAAAGTAATAATGATAATACTACCCTAGATTTACTTTAAACGTCATTATAATGTTTTATTAAATAATAATAATGATTTTAACCATGTTTTTTTCTGAATAACAATAAATTATTATGTGTATTTTTTTTTGTTGTAAAAATGCCTGTTATAAATAAAGTTTTAGTACTCCTATATCGCATAGACCGACCAACGTGCAGCGGCAGATAAATTTAACTGAAATTAATGCACACTCGAGAAAGATATTGATGCTCATTTGAATATAATACAGAGCAGAAAAGACTTGATGATAGTCTACTACCGTTAGCTCTCTGTCATCATTCCTTTCAGTAATTCACCATTCACCAAAGTGTAAATTCCATAGCGAAAGAAAATATTTTTTTTTCTTCCTATTTTACTATTAAATAATTAATAATAAGATCGAGTTTATGTTTTGGCTATGGAAAAGTAAAAATTAAATAAATATCTTATTTTACTTCTTTTTTTTTAATGTATTAATATTGTTATGCTCAGTAATTTGAATCAGAAGGAAATACAAGTGACGTCCCTAGAGGGGGGATGAGGGGGTTCCCTCATGCAGAAACTGTTATTGAAATAAAATAAATTATATCACTCAACAGTTTCCTTTTCATAATTATGTAAATTGCTGCATAACTATGTTTGATTCAATAAAGCATATCTTTTATTTTTAAGAGGGCATGTATTAGGAAGAAAAAATTGGCAATATACTAGTTAATGAAATTTGCTCTTTAGTATTTCCGTTCACAACGATCGTGGAAACCATTTTAAAGCAAAAAAAAAATTATGTTTGGGATGAGATGTAAAATAATAATTTTTTTTTTTTGGCATTTCAGACCTTATAGATCTTTTGCCGCATTAACAAGCCTGTTCTATCTCTGCCTATCTTGTGCTATTTCTTTCCAGTATCTGGAAGCTACTGGAGTCCAACAAAGTTCTATTGTATCTTTGTTGACTCTATCTATCCATCTGCTTTTTGACCTTCCACGTGGTCTTTTCCCTTCTATTGAGACGTTCATTGTTACCTAAAGGCTTCTAGATGAATAAATACGAGGTGCATGCCCCACCCATCTTAACCTTCTTGCCTTCATATCATGGAATACTGATTGACCAGTTTCTGTAAGCAATTGTTTATTGGTCCTTCTTCTCCATATGTTGATACTCTGATCCCAGATCGCTCCGATTGTGCGGAGCATTTTTCTCTCAAATCTTTCAATATTTTTATCTAGGGCGCTGGTTAGTGTCCAGTTCTCATAGCCATATATTAGAACTGGCTTTGTACTTCTATTGTACACCCTTAATTTGAGATTTTTCGGGATTTTAATACCTTTGGAACTTCTCCCTTCCAAAGCTCCGTTTGCGTTAGTTATACACTGGTCTATTTCTGACCGTTGGCCATTCACTGAGCTTTTAGCACAAGTATTTGAATTTGTCTACTCTCGGGAACGATATTTCTTCTATGCAGATCCTTCATTTACTTGTAGGCCGATTTGCAGTGCCTCTCTTATCAAAGTCTTATCAAGTTCCTCAATGCCCTCTTGATTACTTCCAAGGACAACTATATAATCTGTGCATCCAAGGATTTTATGATCATTCGGATGTGGACACCTCCATTTTCGCGTGATGCTCTTTATTCTAGAAAGTTTACTCGCATTATAGGTATCTATTTGAATTAGGGATACATTAAAAAACAAATAATAAATAATTATGTAAACAAATTTAAAATTGAAAGATGGATATATATTTATGCAAACTTTACATTTATTCCCTACCTTTATACAGAAGATCACTTAGAATATGAAGGAATAAAAATTTTTTAAGTGCAATTTGGGAAGAGGCTTTACGGATCGATGTGGGTAAGAAATTCCCCAACGAGGTAGCTCCTATGATGAAGAATTATTCAAAGGAAGTATCTCCATGAGAAGATAGATGCAAACTGGTTGGTTGCAATGCTTTATCTAAGAGATGGACAGAAGAACGCAAACGTGAGTTGGTCAAGAAAACAGGAAGGTTTTTAGATTCTTGAGGAATGGTATACGATGTTACCAATATTATATTGTTGGAAGTTTAATAAGTCACCCTTGCTTAGAAGAATACCAGTGGAAACCTGAAAACGTCTAGAAACACCGAAAATGAAACTGATCAACCTTTTTAGTCTCATCTCGTGCAAACCAGAAGACCTGCATATACAATAGGTATCTATAGTCAAGGTGGATCAAGATGCTAAGATAAGCAGACCATGTGGAAATGAACCACGTAATTTTAAAAGCTGTTTCAGAATTGAAATATAAATGGGGTTACTTTTAGTTAGGTGTTTTTTATAGACTTTTGGGAATGCAAACAGTAATAAGATATTTTAACATTACCAACTAATCTGAGTTAAGGTTTACTATTTTTACTGTAATCTTTCCAGTGCCTTATTGCTAAGAATATATCTCTTATTAATGATCAATTAAATTATTCAATCAATCCTTTATTGAGAAATGTTACGTTCTGTCACATCCAAGGACACTGGCAATAACGAAAGAGTAGAATTTATGATAAAAAAAAAGCCATGTTTTGGAGTACTTAATTTTCTTTCAAAATATTTATAAATTGTCCTAAAATTTGACTTTTGGTCATGCTCAATGAAGTTAATGTTTTTATCTTAGAATAATCGTGAAAAAAAAATAGTAAAGAAGGGCATAATAGAAGAAGATAAAACCAATGAGAATCGTCATAGTTTCCGCTGTTTGGGCTAAAAATTAAACAGTTCTTGAATGATCTAGTAATTATAAAGAATAAAACTATAGAAAAAAATAATTTCGATTCATGATGAAAATAACATGCTTACGAAAATAATTTAACTTGAAGAGAAACATGCTTAAATAGGAAAAGTATAGATTTCATATACATAGTAAAATGAATTATTTTCAATATTGAAACACATAAACTATTAAATAGTTTAATGTTACAAAGATGCTGTTGGTTGGAGTTATATGGAGATAACTGGGAAGAAATAGTTAATAGTTGATGACATT